ATGAAAAAGAGGTAGAATGAACCATCTCGCACTACATAAACATGAGGGTGGTGACCTTATCGAAAGCCCCAACCGCTCCGGCAATGATGACGATGACGCTTATTCGCATATGATACCGCCAGTGCATTGCACCATCTTTATGAGAATAACATGTCCGCATATTCTGCATGTGAATACATTGGTTATTGCTCCCGTTCCCTGCCATGCGTTCGATTTTGATATACCGGTAAAGCAAAATGTGCACCGAACGTAGAAATTACACATTTCTTTGTAGGCATTTGTTCTGTTCATGTCGCACGAGCGAAAATGCATAATTCGGTCAATGTGTGAAATATACCTGTATCTAACAAAATAATTCGAAGTGGTCTGTATTCTGTCGAAACTGCCAGACGCGGATTGCGGTTTCGATCTTTTTGGATCTCATCAGCGCGTCACATTATTTTGTTCGATTATGGTAACATGCCTATCACGTTGAGATGAGCTACGCCGGGATTCGTTTTAGCAAGTAGATATCCATATTTTTAAATGGACCTTGCTGGAGCATACGTAATCCTAAAATGTAGCATCGTACTACAGATGGCGCTCACCACGCTATTTGTGGTATTTTCTATACCTGTATCTCTTTAACTTCCTGAAAATACACCCATCCGTTCTTTAAAAAATGTCCAAAAGCAGGGGTGATCAACCGTTGCTCGCCTTGAACATTTTTCCGACCTGCGATATTCATCAAGGTTTTACAAAATATTTTTACCATAGTGTGGTCACTGATTTTCGGTATCTAGAAAATCACATAATACAGGATGGAAGAAATAGTAGAGATTTAAAACAGAGGACAAAAAGAAATCGGAGCGTGACTGGCTTGGCGAGAGGAAACTAAAAACTTGTGTATCTTCCGCCGGTATACTACTGTACCACATAGATTATTCTGTAAGAACAATCGAAGAACTCGAAGGACCAGCGTATGTCCGATTAATAAGATGCGTATTACGTTTATTAATCCTATGCATACACGACAAATTAATCTAACTTAAATTTACGATTACAAACAATTAATTGAATTGAAACGATTGTTTTGATAGATGTGCTATTACTGTTCTTAAATCTAAATTGTTCTGTCTTTTTTTGTATCTGAAAACTATTTCTCCCACTATCACTTCTGTTTATGGAATTTTCCCTGGTCACTACCCCCAACGACACTGGTCACGTACACCAAAAGGTTCGTAGTTAAGTAGCACACAATGGTGCTATAATTTAGGGAAAACCCAAACTACAAGAATACAACGCAGATGCACTGCAAATGTACCGAAGGCGGCATTTAGAATAATTCGAAGTGTTTGAAATATTTAAAATGTGTTTGATGCCGTAGATGGAAAAGGTTAGAAATAAGGAGATATTAGAAAGAGTAGGAGAACAGAGGGCACTATGAAAGTCAATAAGGAATAGGCGAGATATGTTGGTAGGGCATTTTTTCAGGCATTATAGGCTAGTTAGAGACATGTTAGAAGACATGTATATTGCATTTACTGGAATTGTACTACTTTATTATTCATGCGAAAAAGTAACTGAAGGTACTATGAAAGAATGAACTTGTAGGCGAAGCAATGAAAAAGGGTTGATTCATACGCTCTTAGATACTAGTAATACCCTTAATTCGATCTAGCAATGATTGGTTGCGTATAGCGCTATCCATTTATCAAATTAAACTCTGCAGTCATATGTCATTAATTAGTTCACTATTCTCTTCTATGTTTGTCTTTATTTTTGCTAGTCGATTTAAAAAAGCACAGCGTACATCAAGTTCTCTGATAAATCCATACCCTCTCATTCTTTCGTAGCGTGGATACTATTTGTATGAAATTCTTTTTCTCACATCGTATTTTTCAAAAGATGTTGCCGCCCTTTGATGATTATATGAATAGAATATCAATAATATTTTCGGTTCTCAATTCTCCACTAGTATATGTGTAAAAGTCTTGAAAGAATGGTGTTTGCCATTACGTACATACTATGATTTATGGTGCTTGAATCTCAATAGCTGACTGTAACTGTATCTTTAAACGCATGAGTTATGTGTAATTTTTATGTATGTTGTGTTGTCAATGGAATTCGTTAAATTTGAAATTAAAATTGCTGTACGCGACTAAACTAAAAAATGCACACAATATGTGAATCGAAACGTATGTATGCATATCAATTGAAAAGAATGATTAGAAGCAATAGATTGTGTTTGCAACTGCGTTATCAAAAAATGTGCATAGCTTTATTCGAAATACATGTTCCTAATAGACACTATAAAATGTCAGATATGAATAATTAATACGTAAACATAAACATGTACAGGGTGCCTCCCGAACATGTAGAATATGGCCTACTTTTTTTTTTAATAATGACACATCAGATAAAGGCTTGGTATATTTAATATTTGTTACCAGAGATGTGATTTATTTGAAATACTTGCATTTAAAATACAAATATAAAATAAAAAAAAACATATTTTTATCTTGCAATTAAATATTTTTTTGGGAAATGCATTTTGTATTTTATTTAAAATACTTTTCCAAACGTATTTTGCCGTTAAAACTTCTGCTAGTATCACCGATCAAACATTATATAAAATGATGAATGAAAGTTGCTCACATTGACCGTTGAAAGTATTAGAAGCTGAAAAAGGGACAAAGGGGCATTCCAGGAATGCCTTCTAATTCTAAACTCCTTGGAAATGGATAATCTTAAATATTGGATCGATATTTCCGGGTTCAATGTCATAGTGCATGAAATTTTGAAGTGTCAAATTGATATCAACTGAGTTCAGGAAACCCTGGTTATGTGTCCCGATGTGAAGTTTGCTATTTTATAGTTCTTTACTTGGCGAAGTGGCGCCTATGCTTTTGTTTTCTTTGTTGTTTTGTTAATTTTATTAATTTACAGTTATCATAGTCTTATAAGTAATTTTGATTATTTTAATCTCAATCATTTTCATTATTGATGTATAAAAAATTTAAAATAGGAGTTTGAACAGAACCTTCGTCCTTATAGTATGGTATCCATAGATGTATTTAAAATTGGTGGATGAGCCGGGAAAAATCCTTTTGTCAAATTCACAGTGATCCTGTTCAAAGCAACAATTGTTGACCTATTTGTTTATCTTAACGAACGTTATATTTAATGTGTAATTAAGAAAA